GTAGGAAGGGGATGTATGATAGGCATACGCGTGACAGGAAGGGGATGAGCTAGGTGTGTGCCCATAGGAATGGGAAGGTCTAGGGGTATACATGTGACAAGATGGGCGGACCCTAGATTCATGATGGCGGCCTAACCTTGGTCATCCTTGGGCTGGTTTCACTTCTGGTGTCTCCTACAAGGAAACAGACAACTACTATCCTTATCAGAAGGGAGTGGGCCCTACTTGTTGGATAAACAGTGGTGTCTGCTTACTCTAGGTGGCTACTCCTGATGACCTCCAAGTGTAAAGTCATTTGCAAGCAGCTAAGTTTGGCATATATTTGGGGGAGACAACTTGGGAGAAATCCTTTTGTTTCCCATAACAAAACCTACAACAAAAAATGAAAAGTCTATAAATAGTTCCAGGTCTGTTTGTTGACCTTTAGGAGTTTTCCATTTGAGTCTGATAGGGTGCCAGGCCTGGCCCCAAAGTCTATTTTTGGTATTCCCCAGTGGCTGCATTGCTTTGCTCCCCTTGCTGCTCTGTTGCATGCCCTTAGTTAAAGCTGTAATCTTTATGGAAGCATGCTGATGCATTTGAACCATTGAACTTCTGGTTAGTAGTTGAATACTTAACCATGGTACCACCAGGGCACTTTATGCAGTTTATAGAGATATTATTCTAATCTTAGTCTTAAAGTATTTTTGTAAGGGATTTGACCTTGATATTTTTATGCTCATTTTTATTTAAATTATTTTCTTGAGTGTTTGGAAGAAGGAATTGATGCTTCCTCTAATGTTTCCTCCCGACCCCTATTGTTTTTGTATAATGTTAAAAAAAATATGGCATTTTTTGGATTTCCTAACCCTGCTCTCCTGTATGTGTGTTTGTCCTCAATCTTTATCCCAGTCACAGCAGTTTTTCCATGTTGTGGGACCTTGTCCTGTGAGGTTATCTTGGTTTGCAAGTTTTGAGAATTCAGAGGCTCTCATCTTTCCCAATTCATTCAAACTATTCCATAGATCTCTTCCATTCACTTACTCGGTAAAACCTACTGCTCTTCCATACCTTCCAGTGTGCACCTGTTTGTTGTTTTAGCATTACTGGGGCCTCTTTTGTTTCCTTTTACTTCCTTCTGCACAAACTGATTTCCCTCAAGAGTTTTTTGGTATTTTTATCATGGGTTTTCTTTTTCATATAGTTTTGTTGCATAAGTTGCCCATATGTCAGACAAGAAGCTTAGGGAAAAGGAATTCCTCCCTAAAGCAGCCCATCAATCAGTAAGGAACACTAAATCTGTGATGAAAATGGATTTCTTAGAGATTGGGCATGTATTAGAAGGCCTGAGAGTGGGGTGGGCTTGAGGCAGGGCATGCACAGTAAAAGCTAGTTATGCCTCATACACACTTAAATATACCCACTAAATGCTTGCTAACCCACAGCCATGCCCTCAGTATGGGTGGGAGAAGAGCAGTCAAGGAAGAAGGGGATGTGAGATTAAGGACAGACAAACACCGTTCCATCTTGGACAGCCTGTTCTTGTCTATGAGAGTGTGCTAGCAAAGACTTTGTTTTCACTCATAAAAACCTCCTTTCGGCGACGTTGGATGGTGTAAGATATGACAACAATAATAATTTATAAATTATCAAGGGTTCATCGGGGAGGGGGGAATGGAGAGGGAGGGGAAAAATGAGCTGATACTGAGGGCTCAGGTGGAAAGCAAATATTTTCAGAATGATGAGGGAAACAAATGTACAAAGGTGCTTGATACAATGGATGGATGTATGGATTGTAATAGGAGTTGTACGAGCGCCCAATAAAATGATGGAAAAAAACCCAGCCAACAACCTCCTTTCCTTACACTTATGTGAATTCTGCCATGTGAATTCTTCTCACTCCGAGAGACAAGAACCAAGGCAAAACATCTCAATGTAACATATGGAGTTTTGGTTTTACTGTTTAGTTGCTCTGTTTTTTCCAAGGACATATGGAAGACTGCAAAACATTGTTGTCAGTTGCCATCTTTGCAGAATCCTTTTTTGAAAAAAAAAAAATGATAATGGTTATTTTAAGAAACTAATGTAGGGGAGGTGGGTGTGGGAGACCTGCTAGGACATGATCAAGGGGAATGTAACAAAGAGGAAGTGCTGAAACCCTGGTGGGGACTGAGCATGATCGTGGGTCAGGAGGAGAATCAAGGGAAATAGTGGAAAGAGCTGGAGGAAAAGGGCATTTATAGAGGTCTAGATAAAGACATGTACATATGCAAATATATTTATATGAGGATGGGGAAATAGATCTATGAGCCTGTATTTATAGGTTTAGTATTAAGGTAGCAGAAGGACATTGGGTCTCCACTCAAGTACTCCCTCAACACAAGAATACTTTCTTCTATTAAATTGGCATTCTATGATGCTCACCTTCCTGACACAACCGCTGAAGACAAAGCGGGTGAATAAGCAAATATGGTGAAGAAAGTTGATGGTGCCCGGCTATCAAAAGATATAGCGTCTGGGGTCTTAAAAGCTTGAAGGTAAACAAGCGGCCATTGAGATTGGCCATAAATTGAACATGATTGAAGCTACGCGACAGGTACACAAGGAGTTTTTATATTATCCTTTCTGCTTTCCTATTTATACCGTGCCAAATAGTTGTTATGTTTTTTCAAAGCTAGCTTTCCATTTATCCCTACTTTGTTAGTGATATTACATTCATAGAGAAGTACATCTTAATATTAGTTTACATAAATGATACTACTACATATCCCAGTGCCTTTCATTATACCTTTTCCTTTGGTTATCTCATTACACTGAGGCACAGTCTCAGTTTGCCTCATTGAAGTTCAGATTGACATATCTCATTATGTCTTGATCTTCTTCCATTTCACTATACACATAAACTCCTGCCCCTCTCAGCTTTACTGGTGAATAGCTTACTATGCTACTTATAGAATTTTACCTTTGTAGTTAGACCCTCCCCCCACCCACAGATAATTATTTGTTTTTGATTCTATGTGACTCTTTGTTTTAGGGAACTCATATTACTTTGGTTGTTATATCAAATTTGGTCAGTATAGTTATACTTCAGCACTTAAACCTGGCATCTGTAATCTTACTTTTCTACAAATCATATTTTATATTCTCTGGATATCTTCTAATGTAGAATTTATATCCTATTTTGGGGATAATAGCATTTTGTTGGAAGGAAATAACACAGGTAAAGCACTGACATAGAGCTCTCCACACTCGGCATTTAAGGTGTATTCAGGGAATGTATTGTTTTGCTTCTATTGATACTTGCTTTATTATAATGTAATTGACTCCTTGGAATATATATGAGGAGGCTTCCAAAAGTCCGTGGAGTAATTCTAGTATCTTTTAATTCTACTTTTCTAAAAATGTCTTGAAGCTCTTTTGTATGTCTTATCTTTGGTTAGAAATGATGAAAAACATGGATTGTATCTCCCATGACAGATAGCAGCGGAAGAACCTCCACCTGAAGGCTGCAGTTCTTTTTTTTCAATTCATGGGAAGAAGACTTGTAATTTTGATGACATTGAGACTCTTCTGCGCACAGCATCTGAAAGGTAGTTTGTATGTTTCTTTAAATAAATGTCATGCATTTCATCGTGCTTTTTTTTTATATTCTCTTTTCAATTGTAGCTTAGGTGGTTTGCGTTTCAGATCATGAACCCTGCATTTCACGGTCTAAACTACCAGTGAAATCCCCAAACATCGTACCCCTTCCCCACTCCTTAATTTCCCCACTCACCAGCCTCCATTAAAAGTGACCTCATATAGTATTTACCCTTTTGTGATTGGCTAGCTTAATATTCTCCTGGTTCATCCTTGTCATGAGCTGCTTTGGGTTTTGTCATTGTTTCTTCATGATGCATAGTATTCCATTGTTTATATGTACCAAAGTCTGTCCATTCTTCTGCTGATGGGCATTTTGAACAGTTGTGCAATGAACATAGGGCATATGTCTGTTCTTGTTATGGTTCTAACCTTTTGAGGATATACATCCCACAGAGGGTTACTGGCTGGTCTAGAATTTCTAGTCAGTGTTGGGGTAGAGCCATTTTGCTTTCCATAGTGATTGTACATATTTACATTTTCCTGTGCTATGAATGAGGGTTCTAGTCTCTCTGCAGCCTTTCTAGCATTTTTTATTTTCTGTTTTTTTTTAAAAATTTGGCTGTCATTGTCAGTGTAAGGTGGTATCTCATTTTTGCTTTGACTTGCATCTCCCAGGCGGCTAGTGATTGTGAGGTTTTCTTCATGATTGTTGACTCTTTGGATATCTTCTTTGATGAGCTGTTTGTTCATGCCCTTTGCCCATTTTTAAATTTGGCTATTCATTAAAAAAAATTATTGAAGTGCTGTAGCTTTCTATAGATTTTTAATGTTTTTGATTCCTTGTCTAAGATGAGGTGGATGAATTTATTTCTGGGTTCTCTGTTCTGGTCTAGGGATCTATCATTATACCTGTACCAGGGTGTTTGAGGTACTGTGGTTGTGTAGTAGTTTTGAGGTTGGAAAGTGCAAGACCTCCTACTTTGTTCTTCTTCCTCTTCAGTTCTTTGCTTATCCTGGGTCTCTTAGTAATTAGTCTTTCCATTTCTTCAAAGAATGAGGGTGGGATCTGGATTGGAATTGCATTGTATTTATAGATTGTTTTGGTAGTTGACATTTTCACAATATTAAGCCATCCTATCCATGAACATGGAATATTCTTCTACTTGTGTCAGTCTTTTTGATTTCCTGTAGTACTGTTCTGTAGTTTTTTGGGCACAATCTTTAGTTTCTCTTGTTAGTTTTATTCATAAATATTTCAGTTTTCATGTTGCTATTTTAAATGGTATTTTCTTTATTGCCTTTTCAGAGCTCTTAGCATTAGTATATAGGAATCCAATAAATTTTTATACATTAATCTTGTATCTTGCCATCACTGTGAATTCTTGTATAGAAAGTGTACCTTCAGATTTTCCTTGTTTGCTATGGGCCCTGGTGGTGTAGTTGGTTATGTGTTGGACTGCTAACTGCAAAGTCAGCAGTTTGAATACACCAACCACTGTGTTGTAGAAGATGAAGCTTTCTGTTCCCATAGCAATTTACAGCCTTGGAAACCCACGGTGCTAAAAAATAAACCCACAGTGATAAATCTGCTCTGTCATATAGTGGGTTTCAATATGTCAGAATCAACTTGATGGCAGTGAGTGTGGTATGGTTGTGTAAGTGTAGTGGTTTATAAATTCGGAAACCAGGTAAGCTAGATTCGAATCTCACTTTTGTCACTTAGAATAGTTTAATGAACTTTGACAATTTAACTTCATCTTTATTTTAAAATGGAGATAATAGGAATAATTAATACTACTGTTATCATTTGGTAATAACTATCTATGATGTTGCTACATAGGCTTTATCATCAGCTTAGTGAAGAAAGGAACACAGTGTATATTAAAGCCAGTTCCTTAAATTGTGTCTTAAATGATATTAATGGTAATTAACTCTCAGGATATTATTAGATCTAGACAATGAAGAATATTTAATGGATAATTATAAGCTTAATATGCATTAGAGAGCAATAATTAATAGGCTGACTTTTGTGCTCTCAGATTTCTTGTTGACAAATGCAATCGGTGTCTTGTTTGGCTTGGACAGCATACTCATTGTACCTTCTGATTCTACTATAAATTGGTAACATTTGTTGCTATGCGGAGTCAGAAGTCCTGATGACATTTTAGGGTCACTGTGCGTTAGAATCCATTCAATGGCAACGGGTTTGGTTTTGGTTTAGTTCATCTCTAGCAAGGCTGTCTGCCGAGCACAGGATGTTTGTATGTGGCACATGCCTGCTCGATACCAGAGTGTGTCATAGTAAGATAGGCTAATGATACACATTACAGATATCTCAGCACTAGGCTATGGATGTTTTGAATGGCTTTGTAATAAACTGATGCTCTGTTGGCTAAGCAAAATTGTTTGCTTTTAAATTCTTTAAAAAAAAATATAATTTGTTCAGTTTTATTGCTGCAATAATGCAGATACTTATAAAGAAAAGAGTGATAGTATGCCAGTTCCTGAGAAGACGTAAATACTACTTTTAATGGTTTCATAGATCATTTTAGATTTTTTTCCTGTGGTTACAAATTTACACACAGAGTGGTTTATGTTCACTTAGTAAGTGTCCATGCATCACATTTTTCCCCCCTGAAATACCTTCAGTTGCAGTGAAATCAATAGTTAATGAATGATCTTTGTGTGTGAGGAAGGTGCTCATTTTTATTTAAAGTTATCTTAATCACAAATGCTATGTAATTTATAAAAAACAAACAGAAAAAACCAGCTTTTACTTAATCGAGCCCAAAGCATCCAAGAGGCAAGGGTACTCTCTTAGAAGGCATAGAGGGATCTTGTGTTTAATATATGAATGGTAATCGATTTTATGACTATCCCATGGTATTTAAATTACTTAATATTTCTTTTACAATTAACCACTATGGAATGCCCATATTCTTATGTCTTTACTTTCTTTTGAACAGTTTATTAGAAGAATGATTGGTAAGTCATTAAGTTTATGCCTTAGGTATATTAATATCTTGATCCTTTTGTTAGGGGAGATTTTAATATGTTTAGCAGGCAGACTGTGGTAGAAATTTAGAAATGGTAGAAAGGGAGCCTTACTATAACTGGTAGGTAATGCATATGCTTAAACTTATTTTTTGGATCTTACATTATTGTACTTAGGTTTTTTCAGATAAACGGATAATTATATTTTAGTCCTTAGAGAAGATTGTACTAAGGCTTAACACTAGGAAATTTAGATTTATATATATTTTTTCCCTCTCCAGAAATTGTTAATAATTATTAATCAAAATTCTAATTTATGTAATATACTTTTATTATTTTAAATTATTAATAAATAAGAGTCACTTGGCAGTTATTCTAAGTAACTGACAACTAAATCAAGACTGTGGTAATCTTTATATTAAGAAGCTTGTAATTTTAAATAATTGTAGCTGAAATTTGCATTTTGTACAGTTTTAAAGTTTAAAATTTGCATCTTTCTATATATTTTTTTCCAGACCTAAGCCATTATTATTCAAAGGAGATCATAGATATCCGTCATCTAATCCAGATAGTCCAGTGGTGATTTTCTACTCTGAGATTGGCTATAAAGAATTTTCTACTTTCCATCAACAACTCATATCAAAAAGCAATGCTGGCAAAATCAATTATGTATTCAGACATTATATATCTGTAAGTATTGACTTAGTTTATTCCTGTTTTAGATATTAATTTTTTCCAGCATAGCCTTAGAACATTTAGAATACATTTTGAAAAATCTAGCACTTTCATCTATTATTTGTTCATAGGTGGTGTTTTGTTTGTCTTTCTGAAGAAACAAAATAATTAGGTTAAAATAGTTGCTTGTTTGTTAATCCTTTACTTAAAAAGAGCTACATAATTATTCTAATTTTAATATGGTCTTGAAAATGGAACGAATTCATTTTTTACCAAATTTCATTGTTCATAAAATGTGTTAAAAATTGAAGTTTTAAACAATTGCAAGTATACATTAGTGTTATCCATTATGCTGTGCAGTTATCACCACTATTTCCAAAAGCTGCACATCACTCCAGACAGAAGCTCACTACTCTTTAATGCAATCACTTCCCGTTCTTCCCTTCACCCTATCAGTGGAACCATTAACGGGAATTTTTGTATTCTAAATATTTCATGTAAATGGGATCATTTAATAGTTGTCCTTTGTATGTTACTTATTTCACTTGCATAAAGCTTTCAAGGTTCATTCATCTTGTAACATGTATCACAATTTCCTTTATCTGTATCACTGAATAATATTCCATTGTATGAATGTACCACATTTTGTTTATCCTTTCATCTATTGAAGGATACTTGGGTATTTCTACCTTTTGGTATTGTGATTAATGCTGCAGTAAACATTGGTGTACATGTAACACTTCAAGTCTGATTTTTAGTCTCTTGGGTATATACCTAGGAGTGGAATTGCAAAGTCATGTAGTAATTCTATGTTTAACTTCTGAAGGACAATCATAGCTATTTCATTTTATATTTATTTCAACACTGCATGAAAGTTTCGAATTTTCAACAGTCTCATTAATACTTTTTACTTTCTATTTTTCTGATAAAAGTCCATTACTCTTCTTTTTTTTTTAAATCATTTTATTAGGGGCTCATACAACTCTTATCACAATCCATACACACATCAATTGTGTAAAGAGCATTTGTACATTCATTGCCCAAAAGCCCATTACTCTTAATGGGAGTAATTAGTATCGCAATTGTAGAAATTATTTGTAATTTCCATTTTTTCACTGTTCCCTTTCAACCTTTTGTTTTCCTACAGCTTTTCATATGGTGGAGGGAACTAGATTTCTAGAGAGGTGAAATAAGGCAGACTTGATTTAAAACAGGTTTTAAAACCATGTATAACATTTAAAATATTTCTATATAAATATTTCAGTTAATCCCCAAAGTTTCTATGTCATAGTAAACTCAGTAAATATTGGGTAATACAAAAAATATTTATATGAACAGAAACAAATCTATCGGTGTTTAGTTTTTGATAACTCCTACCTACCTTCCCATTCCCCTCTAAGTCCTATTGCTGGCATTAGACACTCAGGTGTGTAATGTGCTATTTTGAATCAGGTTGGTGTTGAATTTAGAGTTTTTGTCAACATAAACTCTGCAAGACATATATCCAGTACATAAATAAGCACACACATACACACGAATGGTTCCAATAAAGCACTTCTGGGATTGAGACTTTACCAATTTTCAGTCCCTGCTCTGTAGGTTCTGAAATTTCATTTTCTTCTTCTTTTTTTTTTTTTTTGTGTTGCTTGTGACTTTTTTTTTTTTAATTTCCTACTTCAACCTTGGAATTCCCATTTCCACAACTGTGGGTAGAATAAATGAAGCAAAGGAGATTTTTTTCCTATATCTAGCATTTTTGGGGGGTGGGAATATACACAGCCTAACATTTACTCATTGAGCAATTTTTACAGGTACAGTTCCCTGGTGGTCACACTGTGTTGTTTTACCTCCATTAACTTCGATTCATTGCCTCTTAAACTTTAGAGTTGGTGTTGTCAATTTGATCTCATAGATCTAATTCTTTAAAACAGTGTCATACTCAAGACATTCTTTACTAATTGATCTGAGCTCTTGTTTCGCCTCATGGTGGCCTTAGGGCATATGCAGTTCATGGAGATCTAGAAATCTGGATTCCATAAAAACTTGAAATTCTGTTCTACATTTATTCTACCCTTTTGATCAGATTCTTCTATCCATTCCTTGATGAAACATTCAGAGAGGATAGCAGAGTACTGTCCAGCTCTTTCTCCTGACAAAGGAGGCAGTAGTTCATGGACGCACTTCATCTTCCAATTCTTGTGTCTTCTTCTTCCTCTGATGCTCCAGGCAATAGAGATGGACCCATGGTTGTTCTCTTTGATGGTCGTACCCAACGTTTGAAGTCCTCAGGCACTTCTCAGTGACTGTGGAGTTAGAATAGAGTATATAAAAACTGCATAAGGGCAATTGACTGGACTGTCCACGACAGCATAAACATAGATGTCCAGTCGAGAAAACGAATCCTCTGAAGTTTTTGGTTTTACTTAAGTAGTATTAGCAACTGCTCCCTTCTTCCTTTTTTGCTTTTGTTGTTGTACAAATTAAGTAATACAATCCTTGCCAACTTGACATTTTTCTGGTATACTGTTTAGTGATACCAGTTACATTAATGAGGTTGTGTAAATGGTACACTTAATAGATGCCAATTTTCCATGACCGTAGACAAAAACTCAATATTTCCTATCCCTGGTAACTACTATTAATTACACCACTGTGTACTTTTACTGATTCTTATATTTTAATGTGAGATCTACAATATATATCCTTTTGTGATTGACTTACTTCACTCAGCATAATATTCTCAAAGGTCATTCATATTTTAGCATTCATTAGGACTGAATTTCTCATAATGATAGAACAGTATTATATTGCATATATGTACTCCATTGGTGGACTCTGTTTCTTTCTTTTTGCTCATGTGAATAATGAATATGCATTATGTCTGTTGCTGTTTTTAGGTCCCCAGAGTTTATACCTAGGAGTGGAGTAGCTGGTTCATATATGAGTTATATTTTTAATTATTTGAAGAATAAGCATACTGCTTCCCATAATGATTGCACCTTTTTACATTCCCATCAACAATGAATAAGAGTGTCAGTTTGTCCACATCCTTGTCAAAATTTGTTATTTTTCTGGTTTTGGGTGCTTGACATTATAGTAGGAACCTTGGTAGTATAATGGGTTATGTGTTGGGCTGCTAGGTAACATATATATATATAAAATCATTTTATTGGGGGTTCGTACAAGTATTATCACAATCCATACATCCATCCATTGTGTCAAGCACATTTGTACATTTGTTGCCATCATTATCTTCAAAACATTTTCTTTCAACTTGAGCCCTTGGTATCAGCTCCTCATCCACCCCCGCCCCCCCTTCCCTCATGAACCCTTGTTAATTAAAAAAAATTTTTTTCATGTCTTACACTGACCAATGTCTCTGTTCACCCACTTTTCTGTTGTCCGTCCCCCAGGGAGGGGGCTATATGTAGATCATTGTGATCGGTCCCCCCTTTCTCCCCCCACCTTCCCCTTGCCCTCCTGTTATTGCAACTCTCAATATCGGTCCTCAGTGGTTTATCTGTCCTGGATTCCGGTGTTTCCAGTTCTTATCTGTACCCATGTACATGCTCTGTTCTAGCTGGATTTGTAAGATAGAATTGGGATCTCTAGTGCAGGGGAGGAAGCGTTAAAGAACTAGAGGAAAGTTGTATGTTTCATCAGTGCTTTACTGCCCCCTTACTAGCTCATCTTTCCTTGTAACCTTTCTGTAAGGGGATGTCCAATTGTCTACAAGGTAGCAAATATTTTATATGTTTATAATATATAAACTTTGAATTAATATTCACCCCATTGAAACCAACATTTAAATATTAGATAATAAGTCTACTGTTATTATTGGCAGCTTGGTTAGTTTTTCGGAATTAAAATTTTTATATGTGTGAATCGTCTTGGTCACATGGTTAATATCTTTAAAAAGTATATGTTCTAACTTTTTGCCGTGTTTAAAGATTTATTGAGTCACTACTCAATAAATGGGGGATGGCTAGTAGATGTAACATTACGATGTCCACACCATGCCATATCATAATGTAATCATGGGGACAATTACTCTGTTTACAGAACCCTGGGAAGGAGCCTGTTTACCTCTCTGGTTATGGTGTGGAGTTGGCCATTAAGAGCACTGAGTACAAAGCCAAGGATGATACTCAGGTGAAAGGTGAATTTTAAAAATAACAGTGTGTGCATGTTTCCCCCTTCTTTTAAGTATGAGAGGGCTTCAAGAAGTTTGTGGAAATTTTAAAGCCTTTTTATTAAAAGTTCATTTTATTGGGGACACTTCTCTTGTTGTTGTCTTTTAATGCCACTTTTTAGACAAACTTTTGAAGCCTCTTATATATGTTGAATGAAAACATATTGCCATACTGGAAAAATAATAGAATTAGGGTATGACCAACCTGTTTGAATCTTGGTTTTCTTACATTGCAGTTGGATTTTGCTGAAGTAAATTTTCTAGGTCCTAATTTTCTTCTCTATAAATATATAAGTGATACCAATTTCTCTCAAAAATTTTTTTCTCTCAAAAAAATTGTTATAAGAAATTAATAAGATATGTAAATAAGAAATTCAGGATAATTTTTTTTAGAAATTCAGTATAGTTTTGGTCACAGAAAAATTCAGTAATTAGAAACAGTTATAACTGTTATGTAATTCACAACTAACTGATAATTTATGACTACAATGTGAACTCTTAAACTAATATGTATAATTCATGAAAAAAACTTGTTTTTATTTCTGCACTTGGAATAGTTTAAAATGGATAAACCAAGAAAACACCCACTTTCACTGAGTTGATTCCATCTCATATTGATCCTACATCAGTTGACTTGGATACTTCTTATTTAATACTCCAGCATTAATAATCTAGGGTTTTGAGCTAACTGTCTCAACAACAATTTAATGTTTAACTTCTTTATTTCTTCCACCAATAAAAATCCAACAAAAAAACCCGAATCCAGTTTATATAATAAAATAAATAGAAGGTAATTTGTACCCTATTATTTTATTTTCTGTCAATAATTATATTTAGGATTAAATGGCCTAATTGAATATTCTTCAGAATCTTGACATTGAAAAATCTATGTTTCAAATTTTCAAGGCTATTAATTTTGAAAATTTTAATGTGACATTTCCAAAGTTTAAGAAAAAAATTGATGCTTTATGAAAATGGGAAATATTAAAGCATTCGTTCTGTTTTAAGAACTACTATGAAATGTTAATTGGGATATTTAACATGTTAAATATAATTTCATGTTAAATAAACTTAACATGTTAAGTGTAATTTCTGTTGTTTATTCTTTTATCTGAGCAATTAGACATGTACTTATTACACTTTCCTAGGAGCTGAGGTAAATACCACAGTGATTGGTGAAAATGATCCTATTGATGAAGTTCAAGGATTCCTTTTTGGAAAATTAAGGTGTGTATATTGTAATTATTTGGGGAAATGTCATTACTCTCTTTAAACTGCCAGACTTCCTGACAGTCTTTTTTTTAAAGACTTATACTCAGTGTCACGATCATCCTAGTACATTTTGCAATCAACAACATGGGGGCGAAAAAAGAGAAGAAAAAAAAACAAGCTACAGAAAAAACCCTTTGTTGGAATTCTTTACATTTTCCACAGAGCAGAAAGTAAAATCTTTCAAACAATTAGTCACAAGTTATTTATGACTAATTGTATAACAGATTCTACTTTCTGTTCTGTGGAAAGTGTTCTTTTGCCCTTATTTATGAGTATTATCTAAAACATGTTGTAGCAGCGGGGCTCTGCCACTGCTGTGCTTGGCTGAGTTCACAAATTTGTTGTAACCTATACCTTCCCTGCCTCCTCTCTGGCTCCCTTCTTCTGTTAAGCTTTCTTTCCTGGTAGGCATTAAAATCTTCTGCCACTGCCATAGCTACTGCTTGAACTACCACAACCAGGCACCTTGGTTTCATGGTTTGGCAAAGTGTTGACCTCCAGCACCACAAGGGCCAGTGTTTCTGCCTCTACAGTTTCCTCCCTTTCTCGATCCCAAATTGGAAGATTAAGTGTTGTAATTGCCAAAATCATTGTAGCTTCCACCATTTCCAAAATGGCTTTCATCCCTACTAAATCCATTGTAATCATCCCCTCTGCCTTCGTTTCCACCACGGTTGTCACCAAAGCTGCCATGTCAGCTGAAGTTTCTGCCCGACCAAAGTTGTCATTTCCACCAAAACCACCTCCTTGGCCACCACCGAAGTTTCAAGAACTACTTTATCGTTGTTGTAAGGAAAGAATCATATAAACATAGTAACATAGTGTATACCCCCCAAAATTATATCCAAGGTGATATCAGCTCCACAGTATTCAGCTTTACCAATTAGTAGAGTGAGATGACTTAATTAGATTTAACTGATTAGTAGAAATAGTTTCTTAATTCATATTGAATGACTATTGACCTGTTGAATTCATTGTGTGTACACCTGTTTTTGTGTAATATCAATTTTGGGGTTACTAACATATAATCAGGCTCCATTTTTATTGACTCAGGTTTCCAGAATCCTTTTTCATGTTCATATTTTATATATTTTTTGGTAACATGATTTATGCATTCATATCTCAAAGATATTATGTAGAATACTAAAGACTTTTTCTTATCTAGACATTCAGAATAGTTATTTACCTAAGTAGTATAATTGATTAATTTTATCATGAATAAAATTTTATAGTAGCTAATTGAAATGAAAGTATGTTGCATTTAAAAATGTTTTAATTGGTAGCATTTAAAATACAGGAGATAATCTCATCATGTGCCTTGATGTGAATGATATATTTTTGACTATGATAAATAACCTTTCCTTACCATCTTTAGTAAATGGAGTGTCTTTTTTTTTTTTTTAATGGATTGTCTTGTATGATGATAAATCAGAAAGCATTGCTACTGGGGTTTCAGTTCATACATGACTTCCAGAAAAGGTTCAGTCAAAAGAGTGGCTTCCAAGGGGATCTGGTGGGCTAATTAAATCCAAGACAGAGAAGTCAGCTTGTGTTAGCAAATGTACAATTCTGCTGGACATGGTTGAATTATGGAAAATGATTCAGTATATGTATTAATCCGAATCAATCCTTTTAAAAAAAGGGATATGGTGGCTGTTTTCTGAGATTCCAGAGGCATATTCTTGATGGATCTTTAGAAGGGCACAGGATGATAATGGTGTAGATTAGGAAGCCCTTTTCAGAACATTGAGACCTGCATTGGTGAGAAAAAGGACGGGAAAGTTGCATTGAGGAATTTTTTGCATTATGAATGCGTACCTGCTAATTCTTGGATGGTATAGTGATAATATTTATTATTATTAAATGATAACTTAATAGGGAAACCTTATACCATCTATCCTACAATCCCTATCTTACCCATTCAGGCTTTTTCTTTTGTTCCAAAATTCAGCAATTATTAGTACCTTCAAAAAAGTTTGTGAAAATTCTTTTTCTTTTAATTCTATTTTGCACTCATAAAAGCCTGCTTATAAAAGGAACCTGATTTGAGTCTCTCAAGGATGCCCAAACTTCCAGTTCAGTGTGGTATAAATTGAAGAGCACAGAACTTTCAGGCAAGGTTTAGAGAGAGGATAGATTACTTGTAGATAGAAGATATGTTGAGAAACAAATGTTTTATTTAATAAAGGTTTTTGTGATTTTGTCCACCACTTGTCTGTCAGTTTGTCATCCTACGGTGGTTTATATGTTGGTGTGATGCTGGAAGCTGTGTCACTGGTATTTCAAATGCCAGCAGGGTCACCCCAAGTGAGCAGGTTTCAGTGGAGTTTTCAGACTAAGAACAGATGATAAAGAAGGACTCGCTCCCCACCTTGGAGGAAAGAGCCACTGAAAACCTCATGCATAACTTCAAAACATTGTCAAATACTAAAGGCCTGAAGAATGGAAACAGAACATTGTCAGAGATGGTGCCAGAAGATGGGTCCCTCAGATCTGATACCGCTCAAATTGTGACTGAGCAGGAGCTGACTTCTCTGAGTAGCGTTGACCATGGTGATGTGAGTCAGGTAAAGCCTGTGGGAGTGGCTCCTTCAGGATCTTCGTTTTCTGATGGTATGACTCAAGGTAAGGAGAAACAGCTGCAAAAATCTACTAATGATCAGAACTTGGAATGTGCAAAGTGTGAATCTAGGAAAATTGAAAGTGGTCAAAAATGAAATGGAATGCATAAAGATCGATATCCCAGTCATTAGTTGGCTGATATGGACTGGTATTGGCATTTTGAATCAGAAAATCATATGATTTACTATGCCGAGAAGAAGACAATCACTACTTTCCAGTAGGTGTCAACTCATAGTACCCCTATGACGATAGAGCAGAAATGCCACATCTGGTTTCCTTGCTGTAAGTCTTTATAGGAGCAGATAGCCTCATCTTCCTTCCTAGGAGGGGATGGTGATTAGAACCACTGACTTTGTGGTTAGCAGCCCAGTGCTTTGCTCACTGTCTTGAGGGCTCTTCCTGCCCCTAAGAATTCTGTCTAATCTTTTGAGTTGCTCTTGTCAATTTGATCGCAGATAGATCATTCTATTCTTAAAAGATACTACATTTTTTTTGCAGTGCATCATTCTTATTCATTACTCTCTTTAGGAGGTGGATTGACACAGTGACTGCAATGGTGGGCTCAAACATAACAGTTGTGAGGATAGTGTCCAATTGGGCAGTGCTTCATTCTGTTGTATATAGAGTCACTATGAGCCAAAACTGACTTGATGGCACCTAACAACACTTTCTCTGTTCCCGTAACTGCTCCTTTTTGCTTTAGAGTAAATTTTGACCATTTTGTCTCCTAAAGATAATTTTTCTTAAGGAATATCATTAATCATGGGTGATAGTTTTTATTTAATGAGCTAGTGTGATAAAAGATGACCTTAACAGAATTATTTTGGTTTAAGGTTAAACGTATATCTTGGGTTTATAATTTTGGTTGATAATATTGCCTCAACCAATTCAGTAAATCAGAGTGTTTTGAGGATTTAAATTTTGTTGTACACATCTGTTTGGTTCTACAGTGATTCTTCTATTATGTCTCTAATTGGAACATTGGTAGTGATAGCCAACACCTTACAGTTCTTCTGGTCTTAGGGTAGATGAATAACCATGGTTTGTATAAAATCATTATTCCTATAAAATTTTTCTTTTGAATGTTTGGTTCCTTCTTTCTTCCACAATCCAGACTACTAAAGATTTAATAGTCTTAGATAGCTGCTCCCAATCTTTTAAGACCAGAGATACTCCTCACTGCCCTAGGATGTTGTTGTTAGGCGCTATCTCATTGGTTCTGACCCTACGCACAATAGAGGAATCACTGCACAGTCCTGCGCCTTC